CTCTGAGGGATTAATTTCCTTCTTCCTCCCATTCTCAAAAGAATAGTCAACACTTTCTTTCAAACTTTGTTGGTGTACACTAGCTTCCACCATGTAAGAAGCCCCAAATATTTTGAGATTTTTGGAAGAAAATCCCTATGTAACTTTTCTTCACCTGAAAAACCCTAGAGGAAGAAACAAGAGGCTTCAATCTTTCTCTTTAATTTTTTGGCTCACCTCTCCCACAACAAAATAAGTAAAGACTATATAAAAGTTTTATAACATTGAAATTCCAAAACAATTGTCCCTTTGATGTAACATTTACTACGTCTTTTATATTTCTTTTTTCCACGAGCAAATTATTTTGGATAAATTCTCCCATTGGTACTCTGATTCGACATGCCCAATCCCCCATCCCCCCACCCTTAAAGGCTTTTTGGCTCTTTTGTTTTTTTTTGAGCCTGCCTAATTTTTTCATATGTCCCCACTTAAACACCCCCCCCCCCCCTTCAAACATAAACCCCTATTTTATTTTTTATTTTTTAATATTTTTGAAACATTGATTTAAGATCGATCTAGATCGACAATCTGGCGATCTGATCCATATCTATGGGGTGGATGATCCACCTCACAGGTTTTTAAACACTTGTATGGAGAATCTTTTAGCTCTAAATATCCCAAATAGGATGATTTTATGATTTCATCAGGAGAAACGACACAAAGACCATTTCTTTTTTCTCTATTTATTTATTTTTTTGTTTACAAGCATTATTGAGTCTATCGTTTTGTATTTAAGTAAATGCAAAGGCATGTTTTTTGGTTTATATCAGTAATTTAAAGAATTATCAATCCAGAATGGGAGTCAATTCTGGGAGAATATTGGCCCCAGTCCAATCTCCCTCCTAAAACCCCCACTTTCATATATTTTTTTCTTTTTTCTAGGTTTATCTAATGTTTCTTAAGTTCCCCCGTAAATACCCCCCATAAACTCTTAATTTAATTTTTATTTTTATATTTTTTAAATCACTAACTCTAACGGATCTAGATCACCAACGATCCAATACAGACCCATGAGGTGGATAATCCATCCCCCTGGTCTGGGTTTTGGGTTTTGAAGCACTGGTTTACGTGAATTTTGAATTTTGAAATAAATGAAAGCCCAAACTTTCGAACCTTACTTAGTAGTTTTGAAATAATAAATTGAAGCCAATATTGTAGTATTATAGAAAAGTGCATATATTGTGAGGCTGTCGATATCCATATCAACTGCCGCAATCATACGAGGGAATGATATTCAACATTAAATTAATTACTAAAGATTGAAGTTCATAATACGTCAAAACGTCAACGGCTCCGGAATTTTCTCCTTCAAAATAAATTTGAAAACCCACCAATCGTGATGCCTGTCTCCTATGCACCACGTAATGCTCGTTGGAAGAATGGACACTATTATTTTACATCGAAAAACTTTGATGACGAAAATGCCCCTGGAGATATATGCGTCCCTTCCTATATAGTAACGTTTACCTTATATAACTTCAACCCCCAACCCAAAAAAAGAAAAGAAAAGAAAAATTTTAAAAATAAAATACAGAAATAAAAAAAAAAAAAGAAAGAAAAGAAAGAGGGGGAAAAGACAGTAAATGATACCTAATTTGGGTATTTTAGTGAAGTACCATAAAAAATCGTGATCTTTCATGTCATATCACATTATGTCAATGTTATTCCACGCTGTTTTACCTAAGAGGACGGCTAGGATAGCCTCAGTCATAAGGTCACGAATTAACCTTTGATCATCTTATATTTGATCGGATAGCTCAGATGATTTTTTTTTATTTTTTTTATGAGTTATTTTGACATGAAATTTAGGGTGTTCCAACTTCTCACGAATTAGCCTTTAAGCATCTTATATTTAATGGGATAAGCTCAAATTGATTTTTTTTTTTTAAATTTTTTTTTTATGAGTTATTTTGACATGAAAGTTAGGGTGTTCCAATTTCTCACATGTGCATCCCATTAGTGTTAACCTAAAGCTTTTGAGTTTAGAAACTCATGGTTTAGATTTTGAAATACCAATCATTTTACCCCATGGAGATATAGAAATAGTAGAGAAACATTTTGTTGAGATTAGGGCTATTAAAAGCCGGACTTGAACTTAGCTTGCCCGAGCCCGAGCCTCAGTCCAGAACCATATATGCCTGGTCTGGGCCCAAAAAGTTATGTTTCGACTCCCCAGTATGTGGGCCTTAACATCCAGCCCCAAACCCTGCAAGAAACTGGGCCCAGGCCGAAAGCTTGCAAGCTAGCCTGGGCCCATTAACTGCGAATCGAGATTATTGACTTGTTAAATTTAGAGCTAAAGTAGATAAACTTTGGAAATTGTAGGATGAGTCAGCTAACAAACCAAAACCCTGCTGGGCTTGGGCCGAAAGCATGCAAGCTAGCCTAGGCCCATTAACTGCCAATCGAGATTATGGACTGGTTAAATTTAGATCTAAAGTAGATGAATTTTGGAAATTGTAGCATGAGTTAGCTAACACACCAAAACCCCATCTAGAAAATGAAGCCAATCGATGGGACAAAATATTATGTTCTTTCCATTCCATTACTTGAGAAGTTTCCAACTTTATCATTTGTGCTTTCCTGCAGATTCCTGGCATTCCCCAACCGTTGATGTTGTTGATGTCAGAAGGTAAGTTGGAGTAGTATGGAAGCATAGCATACAAACGCCTTGTTTCTTTTGTTTTGATTTTTTGAGGAAATAAGGACGGTCAATAGGTGTACCCGCGCAACATATGAGAGGCATTTTTTGAAATTAATGATTTTATAATCATTACAATGTAATGAATATCCTTTTGTGCCATTGTCGAAAAGCAAAATTTACATAAGTATCATGTATATTTTTGTGCAAAAAACAATGCTAGTACATTTTAGGTAAAAATTGTTTATCTAACATGGTTGCGTACCTAACACAACCCACATCTTCTACCCGGGCTTGACACAAGTTTAAAGAAAGTTTGAAGTCCTCACCCTTCTTAGACCATAAAACAATGCTTATAATGTAAAACTTAACTATATCGATATATTTTATATAAAGACGTGATTAGCATGCGGGCCAAGGCTGCACATGTAGAAATGCATGCTCCTTAATAAATCTATTTTTGAGATGGATTTTTTTATTTAATTTTTAAGGACATGTAATTTCTAACATGGAGATCATGAATATGAAAAGATGATAAATAAATTTTTTTAAAATAATAATAATTTTATTAAGAAAAAATTTGGATCGTTAGTTTCAATTGTTTTTAAATAAACCACCTATTTGCATCGATATTTAAGATAGATGCTTTATACGTCTGGACCGCACATGTAGAAATGCGGTCCATCCAACATGAAACAATTTTCCTTGATATAAAGTTTCTAGCAAACGTGGTATAGGTACATATATGTGACATAGATGATAGATATTTATAGAGCTCCATAAATAAATTTCATCAAAATCTCCTTAGCAATATGATAACTTGTTTTTGTTTTTCCTTTATTTGTTTATATATATATATATATATATGGTTGTAAACAACTTTACACACCAACGAAGGTACATCAAAGCCATTTTTAGTAATTTGAAGGTTAGTCACTAGTAGGACAGTTAAATAGTACGGTAAGTGGACTAT